TGCTCAGAGCTTGCCCCGATGGGGTGTTCAAGTGCTCGAGAGTTCGTCGTTGATGTCGGGAGTCTGACTCTGCTTGGTGTTTCTCCGGGGCAATCCAAGACATGCATCTCTGGGATGACGTGCAGAATCACGGGCTTAGTGGGAATGCACCTATCTTCCTTGGATCGGTACTTGATCATGGAGACGTGTGGACAGATTTTTTCACCTGCTTTGGTAGAAGAGTTAGAGACTTTGGGGCCACCAGAACTTGACGGAGCGGCATCTGGAGTCGTCATCAGCAAGCAGCTTCAACTCCCTGGGGGACAATACAGACTCTGTTGGTGCTCTGGTGAGCATTTTTCTTGCAGTTCTCAAGAGAGTTTTCGAATTGATGTCGGAGATCTCACAGTGATTGGAATTGCTCCCCTTGCTCAGCATCGGACGTGTCTGAGTGGCCGCAGCTGCTTCCTGAAAGAGATCACGGGCACTGGCCTGAGCTCCGATGATGTGCTCTTTGCCCTTGAAACCTGTGGGCAAGACAACGCCAGCCTGGCACGGTTCCCATTGTCAGGCAAGACCAGTCTGGAGGAGCAAACTTCGAAAGGAACTTCCCACACCTTTGGTCACTTCGAAAGGATCAGTGCAGCTGGAGGTATCTACCGGCTCTGTTGGTGTCACCGAATGGATGTCGATGTCTCAGACGGTGTCTGTGCTCCACGTGATGCGGTGATTGACATTGGAAGCTTGACGCTGATCGGCCCAACATCTTCGCATGCTCATCGGACCTGCATCAGTGGGGCGACCTGCAGCTTTCCGGACTTCCACCAGGAAGAGGATGGAGTCGACTCTACTGAGCTCTTTGTCATGGAGACCTGCGGAGTGGTGGAGTCACTGGTGTTGGGCTTTGGCACGGAAGCCACCAGTCGTTTCAGTGATCTTCAGGTGATTTCTGCTGCCGGTGGGCGATATCAGTTGTGTTGGTGCGGGGAAGTGGCCAGTCGCTCGAGCGACTGCATCGCAGCCGATGCCGAGGTCACCTTTGGCCACGTGACGTTGATTGGACTGAGCCCCTTGACGCAAGACCGCACGTGCGTGTCAGGTCAGACGTGCAGCTTTGAACTCTCTGCTTTCGCTGGAGACTGGGACGACTCATCGTCCGTCGACGTACTGGGCAGTCGGGTGCTGATCTTGGAGACCTGTGGCCTGGCTTCCCTGCAGGAAGGATTGCAAGCCAACTCTTGGCCACTAGACGGTGCGAGCACGAGCGGTGCGCGTGCCACTCAAATCTTTCAATCCAATGCCTTGATGCCCGCGGGCAACTTCCGAATTTGCTGGTGCTCGGCTTGGTCGAGCCCCTGCGCAAGCGCCTCCGATTTTGCCATGGATGTTGGACAGCTGACTCTCATCGGTCCGTTTCCCTCCTGGCAAGATGCCACCTGTGTCGAAGCCTTAGTGCAGCCGACGAGGGGGGCCGGTCGTGGGTCGCCCGGTCCTCTCATCGTCAGACAAGGAACCCAGAGCTCCCACAGGGATGTTAGCAACATACTTTTGCTGGCAGACAGCGACCATCTCCTTTTCTTCCCATGGCCTTACCCCGTCAAAAGAAACCGAGCTTGTCCTCTGAACGCCCCCCCGCTCGAAGTGCGTGTCGCCGTGCAGCGTGGAAACGTGCAGCGCGCTCAGGTGAGCGGTCAACGTTGCGTGGGTGAACTCCGGGGTGTTGGACTCTCCGCCGTGTTGGACTCTGACGACACTTTGGTCGTGATGGACACCTGTGGATTCGATGGACAGCGACGGCAGATGCAGCTGCAACGCACGCCGCAGGTGCCTTGCTTGGTGAAACGGACCTTTTTTTCTGTTGTCTTTACTTTGATTTTTTGCATTTCTGGAAACAGCATCACATAGGTGTTCATATCCAATTGTATAAACATCTTCTAGACTCTAGACCTTTGTCAGGATAAGGATTCCAGACTTGACCCCAAATCCCATCTCCAGGTTGCCCTGGCACCTTCACATGTTCAGTGGCAGCTGGATGGTTGGTTGCTGGGTGGAACCTATCGTTTGTGCTGGTGTGGTCACGGATTGGGCTGTTCGAACAGCGACTTCTTGGATGTGGGCGCTTTGACCATGATAGGCCCTTCACCCGATCAGCATCGCACCTGCAACAGTGGAGAGATTTGTTCCTTCCAGCAACTCACTGGACATGCCTTGCAGGCGGCAGATCTTGTAGCCCTCATGGACACCTGTGGTGTTTCAATGGGCCATCGCTTTCCAGAACTTGGACAGTTCTTGAGCTCACATGGACACGAGTCCTTAGGACCAACGAGCCTTTCTGCAGCTGGGGGTAGATATCGATTGTGCTGGTGTTCAAGTCTCTATCTGTCCAGCTGTAGTACCATGGAGGGCTTTAACGTGGATGCTGGAGAGCTTTTGGTCCTTGGTCCTCGGCCTTTAACGAAGGACATGACATGTGTCAGTGGACAGAGTTGCACTCTGCTAGATTTGACGAGCAGTGAGATGCTGCCCAGCTCCACTATCTCAGGCATCGCGGCATTGAACACATGTGGAGTGCCAGATCCAGAACACCAAGCATCCCACGCATTCCCCTTGCTGAGACCGAGTGACAGCAGTGGCACACGCCTTACATGGGATGTTCAAGTCCCAGGGCAGTACCGACTTTGCTGGTGTTCAAGTGAAGATAGTGAAGGATGCCGGGTCATTGAGAGTTTCCAAGTTGACATCGGTGCTCTCACAGTGCTTGGTCCTTATCCCCTACAGGTTACATGCATGTCAGGCCAGCTGTGCATGGCAGAGATATTTGGTTTGGGCTTGAAGGATGATGATGACATTTTTGTTTTGGACACGTGCTCTGAAACTGAAACTGAGAAGCCAGGCTTCCTTCACTCCAAGCTGCACAAGGCCGAGGGATTTCTTCCCGAAGCGCCTGAAGCGCCAGTCGTGTGGGAACTGCTCACTTGGAACACCATCACAGCCCTTGGCGGTGAATACAGGCTTTGTTGGTGTCCGAGATCATCAGCGTGCATCGAATCTGGAGCGGACCGTTGGAACTTTGGATCCTTGACAGTGATCGGGCCAAGTGGGCAGAAGACACAACATACGTGTGTCAGTGGGCAGACTTGTGAGCTTGATGCCATTCCAGGTCAATACTTGGCGAAGGTCTCCAAGGTGACGATTCTTGAGACATTCGGAGTGGTCTCTGTGGACCACTCGTATGAGGAGCGTTGGAATTGGACTGGACGTTTGGTTGCTCCAGAGACACTCGTTGGTGCCGGTGGAATGATCGTTTGGGATGAGAAGTTGAAGGGTCCCGGAGGTCAGTACAGATTATGTTGGTGTGGCGATGACCGTGAGGATGCTTGTAGTTTACACACGGACTTCTTGATGGATTTTGCGTCCTTGCAGATTCTTGGACCTCGACCTCTGGTTCAGGACAGAACTTGTGTTGCGGGGAGGACATGCTTCCTTGAGAGCTTCACTGGTGAAGGACTCACTTCCGCAGATCGGGTTTGGCTTTTGGATACCTGCGGGAGCACCGTGAGTCCAGTACAGCGGTTGATTTCCACAGGATTGCACCAGCCAGGATTGCATATGAGTGAGCTGGTGATTTCGTTGAAAGGAGGCCAGTACCGGCTATGTTGGTGTCATGGTCTTACCTCCAACTGTGCCTTCGCCGAGGACTTTCAAGTGGACTTCGGGCGCTTGGATGTGATTGGTGTTGCACCTCTTTCACAAGATCGAAGCTGTATTAGCGGGCACCACTGTGCGATCGATGGTATCATGGGGCACTACTTGGACTCCAAATCTCACTTGTTGATCTTGGACACCTGTGGTACGGCCTCAGCCTTTTCAGCACTTCGAACGTCCGGCAACTTTGAACGTCCGGCCTCCGTTGCCTCCTCAGGTGCCAGTTGGAACGCGCTGGTCACATTACCAGGAGGTCAGTACCGGCTCTGTTGGTGCCATACGGAGGGGAATCTTTCAACTTGCGAGCTCCCGGAGCACTTCCAAGTCGACTTTGGCAACTTCATGCTGGTAGGGCCAAGTCCCTTGGAGCAACACAGGACTTGTGTCAGTGGAGAGGTTTGTCTATTGAGTGGCATACATGGAGAGGCCCTCTCGGAATCCAACGTTGTGGTGATTATGGATACCTGTGGCGATGCGACAAGCGGAACACCACCCGCTCGACTCTTTGCATCTTTGTCTGTGTTGGATGGCATGATGCTAACCACTCAGGCGCCTTTGACCTTTGTAGGTGGTGAATACCGACTCTGCTGGTGTTCTGGCCATACACTCGATGCCTGCAACGTGACCTCCAGTTTCGCCACGGATTTGGGTCGTCTCGATCTGCTGGGACCCCGGCCATTGCAGGACCGAACCTGTGTGAGTGGCTTGACATGCATCTTAGATGGACTCACAGGTCACGGTCTAAGTGGATCGGATGCGATTCTGCTGCTGGAGACCTGTGGCGTGGAGACCTCGATCGATCGATTCACTTTTGGTGGAGCAGATGTCTCAAGCTCCGGTGCCCGGAGCTCCTGGGAACGTCAAATCGTGGCAGGTGGGGTCTACCGCTTGTGTTGGAGAGCACATGGAGGAGCAAACAGTAGCAGTAGCACAACGGAGGGTTTTGGAGATCCTACAGAATTCCGGGTTGACATTGGCGGGTTGACCATGATTGGTGCAACTCTCTTGGATCAAGATCGAACCTGCATTAGTGGTCACACTTGTCAAATAGACGGAGTGCGTGGGTTGCACTTTTCTCAACTTGATGCAGTCTTCATTTTGGACACTTGCTCCCTTGGAACTGTGGTCCCTTTGTGGCCGGAGGCAGGTGTGGCCACTGAGCTTTCAGTGGCAGGAGCCACTATATCTTGGGGTCCAACACCCGTCTCAGCGGCTGGTGGAGAATACCGACTCTGTTGGTGTTCTGGTGCAGCAAGAATGATGAACACCAGCGCAGAGATTCTCTGTGGCCACGATGACTTCCAAGGGACCCGTGGCCTGGTGGACATTGGAAGAATGACTCTCCTGGGACTTGCTCCATTGGAGCAGCATCGGACCTGCATCGCTGGCCGAACGTGCACCGTCGATGGCATCCTTGGCGGCCTTTCTTCCGATCTCTTCACAGTGGCAGACACGTGTGGCACGGACGCCTCGCTCCACCGTTTCCCAGGCTTCGGTTTGGCATCGACGTCTCAGAATGCTTCGATGGTCACATGGGGAGCTCATGTCTCGTCCAGTGGGGGGCAGTACCGACTGTGCTGGTGCAGCGGAGAAGATGGTGCACTCGATCGTTGCACTCGATTGGAGCACTTTGTCGTCGATGCCGGACGGCTGGAGGTGGTTGGACCCCTGCATGGCCAAGAAGGAACGTGCGTGAGTGGTCACAGGTGTTTGCTGAGTGGGATTCAAGGACATCACTTGCAAACCGGAGATCAAGTCTTCATCCTGGACACATGCTCGCATTTCGTCCGACCTCCACGTATGCCAGGTCCCACGTTCTTGGCCAATGAGCCGGAAAGTCGCAATCATTCTGCCGAGCGCAGGATCTTGGAGTGGGAATTCATTAGCTCCGCTGGTGGGGAATACAGGCTTTGCTGGTACTCTGCGCTATGTGAAGGTGCTTCCGAAGGTTCAGCTTCCTGCTACTCCAGCGGAAATGGTCGAGGGAGCCTTGTGGATTTGGTGGATTTTGGCAGACTTCAGCTTCTGGGTCCAGCGAGCTTGTCACTGGAGCGCACATGTATGAGTGGCCAGTCCTGCCATCTTGGAACCATCACAGGTCTTGGTTTATCAGATGCTGATCGTATTTTGGTCATGGAGACTTGTGGGGCCTCCAGTACCATTCCGAACCTTCCGGCAGATGGGGTGATCCTTCTCACGACTCGCTACTCCAACTGGAGCGCCAGCCCCTCGGGGCTGGCCATGCTGAATACAGCTCCGTGGACGGACCCTGTGACTGCCGCTGCCGGCCGATACCGCATGTGTTGGTGCTCCAGCTTGGGGGACTGTGAGACCGGGGATGATGTGCCGCGCGTGGTGGACATAGGGCTGTTCATGCTGATTGGCCCAACACCCTTGTCCCAAGACAGGACTTGCTTCAGTGGGCAGCTGTGCAACTTCGAGGTGAATGGAATCGGAATGGATTTGGGAAGCAGTCTTTTGATGCTCTTGCACACCTGTGGCTCTACATCTTTGGTCACGGACTTTGAGACCGGCCACGAGCTTTCGCCTTTCTCCTTGAATCAAACTCATTTCGAGGTGCGCCTGTTGCGGAAGAGCGCGGTTGAAATCCCCAGTGGCGGCTATCGGTTGTGCTGGTGTGCTGGGGAGCCTTTTGGATGCACTTCGTCCATCGACTTCAAGACGGACATCGGGTCTCTGCACGTGGTCGGCCCAGTCAGGATGCAAGAAAGAACATGTATCAGTGGCCAGACCTGCACAATTCGCGACATCATGGGAGTGCAACTAGGTGATGCCATAAGTCTTCTCGATACGTGTGGTGAGGAAAGTGTCATTCCGCGCTTTCCAAGCTTTGGGCACGTCCAACGAAATGCTGGCACAGCCACGGTGAGCTTTCCGGTGGTTTCTGCCGCGGGCGGAAGCTATCAGCTTTGCTGGTGCCCCAAGGACTTCCACTGCGAAGTTGCCGAGGACTTCCGGGTGCCTTTGGGGCAGCTGTTGCTCCTTGGACCTTCGCCTTTGACACAAGCACGAACTTGCGTGAGTGGAAGCACTTGCAGCGTGGAGCCTCTGGAGGGCCAGGTGTCCAGTCACATCCTCAGATGATTTTTTAGCACTCAATGCTTGCTGCAGGAGCTTCAAGCAGGGACTAAAACCTGTTCATCAGCAGAATTGTTGGAACTTGCAAAGAACAAAGCATCATTCAGACCAAAGACCTTGCAATAGTTTTCTTGCCATGTGATTCCCCATGTAGATTGTCCGCTCATTCTGAAAACAGGTGGTGGTTTGCTAGACGCTTTTCGCATGGACTTACATTTTTTGTGCAAGCAAGATTGCTTCTCTGTCGCGGCTCTTCCATTCTACTCTCCATGCATATCTTTCTGGGATGCTGGCACCATAACTATAACCTGTTGTTGAGTAGGGCCAAAATGAACCTAGAAAGTGCTTCACTTAACGCTTGGCTTTGCTTTGAAGAGATTCTTACCTGGAGAGTGTCCTGCGTCGTGTGTCCTTCGACCTTTCGTGAAGCTGTGTTTGAAGCTGTGTCCTTCATATCCCAATTGGTAAAATTTGCGTTTTTTCGCCACCCAATTGCCTCCGTGCTCTCACTGAACCCCTCTCTTCACGACCTGTCCCGCCAACCACAGAAATTCTGGTACTGCGAACGCTCAGTATGGGGGCTTTTAGCTCCAAGGGTGGCGTGGCAGAGCCATCGACCTCCAGCAAACCTGATGTTCAATACTGTTCGAGAGAAGGAGAAATAGGCTTTCCATCATGCTGGACATGTCGATCATATCCTCAAGCATAACTTGCATTCTTTGTGGTAGACGTTGGCATCATTGAACATGCTTTCTCGAGCGAACAGCGAGACGGCACAACGAGAAGAAACCTGATCAAGAGAAGTGCTGGGGGAGAACAGAGAACAGAGATACTGCTGCTGCCCATGTTCTTTGGTTCCCCTGCGATGATTGCCAAAAAAAGTTAACTCCAAGAGGCTGCGTTGCGGCTGGGTTGGACGTTGCTATTCTGGTTTCTGTTTGCGCATTTCCATCCTCATTACAATCATTCACAGCCGACACTTCAACAAAGTTCGGGCTTCCTGCGGAGGGGCACTGGTGACCAAATAGTGTTGCAAACCATACGTATCATTCGGACAGTCTTCACCGAAATACTGTGGAACCATTTGGAACATGTTTGTCGCTATGTTTTGTGTGGCGCGCCGATGTCCGTCTTCCACCGCGCACGGATTTTTGTATCTCGATGGTCAGACAGACATCATCGAGCACGCGTGACAGCACCAATCACCTAAGTTTTTCTGAGAAGGTAGACTTCAGACTTGGTTTGTTGCGGATTCCAATTTGATCTCTCGCAGAGACCTGATAGGCGGCGGAGCTCCAGCTGCCGCGAAGCTCCGGCTCTGCCAGAGCTCAGTCACGAGCTCTCATCGACAACGCCCACCACTAACATCATCCCCTTCATCATCAAGACCAACACCATCAACATCATAATCACACCACGGTTGCCAGCTCGTAGGTCTTGCGGACGCAAGGCAAGACCCCGTTCTCTCGTAGGTCTTGCGGGGTTCGGTCACATGGAGTCCGCCCACCACCTCCATCGGTCGACCGTCCACGTGAACCCGCCAGGGTCAGACCTCTTCAGGGTAAAGCAAATTAAATTAATAGCTTTTTGTTACTACTAGTAAGGCACTTGTTACTACTAGCGTGGCACTTGTTACTAGTAGCTTTTTGTTACTACTAGTAAGGCACTTGTTACTACTAGCGTGGCACTTGTTACTAGTAGCTTTTTGTTACTACTCTTCACGCACCGCACATCGAAAAACGTTCTCATCAACGCGTCACGCGGACAACGCGTGTGGACACTTTCTGTAAAGAATCGTTCAATGGAATTTTACTGCAAATCCGTCAGTTCAATCTTCTTTGTTGTGTTGGTGGCAGATCTTTGACATCTGGCGCAAGTCACTGCCCGTTGGAAATCGCCGGCGCTGCCAAAGCCGGCGATTTCGCTACCCTTTCTGCCGAGGTTCGGATGTGGTCTACATTCTCGAGACCTGTGGTGTGAGCCGCAGTGCGCAAGAAGAAGGTTGGATCCCACAAAGCTTTTCAGGCAACTCCTCTGTGGCGCTACTGTCTAGTGGACGCCCTCTAATCATGGAAGGGGGGCAGTATCGACTTTGTTGGTGCGGTCGTGATGTGGATTCTTCGAGATCCAATGGGACACAAAGCTGTCAAGGCGCTTTGCAGTGGACGGTGGATGTCGGTGAAATGTTCATCATAGGTCCCTTCTCACTTCGATCTCAGCATCGGACCTGCGTCACTGGAAAATCCTGCACAGTTGCTGCTAGGTTTTTGCATCGGGTGATTTCTATTTTGCCTATGTCCTATGTCAATGATTAAATCCCCCTTCTGGGTTTTTTTCACCAGTTCATGAAGCAAATCCAAGGCTGGCATCAGCGGCACGCTTTCCGCAGCAGACCACCTGCTGGTCTTCGAGACATGTTCTGAATCATTGGTTTCGGGCTTTTCCAATCCAGTCTCTGTAGCAACAGAAGGCTGGTTGACTGTGACCTGGCCAAACGTCACTGCTTTGCCCGGACAATATCGTTTGTGCTGGTGTGCTGAAGATCCCGTCCTGCAATTGGCCAATGCATCAGCCTGCAATTTGCTCTCGTCCTTTCGCATTGATATCGGAGAATTATCGATGACGGGCGTTTATGGCCAAGATCGCACCTGCGTGAGTGGTCGGAGCTGTGCATTTGAACTTGAAGGCTTTGGCATGACAGGGACTGAACAGTTCCTTGTCTTGGATACCTGCGGTGTCAGGGAGGTTTTGCCGGGATTTCCAGGTGCCGGCTTTGCCGAAAACTGGAGCAATGGCTTTCTAGACTGGGGAGCTGAGCTTCTATCTGTGAGTGGTGGCAGCTACAGGCTTTGTCTTTGCCTTGAGGACTGCAGTTGGCAAGGCGATTATCGTTTGGACATTGGTGAGCTTGTTGTCTTGGGACCACAGAGGTTCCAGGATCGGACGTGCGTTGCTGGGCAGACGTGTGAGATGTCCAACATCTACGGCCAGTTTCTATCAGAGAGGGACACTCTAGCAGTCCTTGAGACCTGTGGGACCCATAGCATTGTCCCACGGTTCCCATCACAGCCCTTGTCAGTCTTACAGACGAATGGCATTCTCACAGCCAGCTGGGGAGATGAAAGAATCACAAGCAGTGGAGGAGAATATCGATTGTGCTGGTGTACAACGACTGGCAACAACACCGGTCTAGCGCACACAGGCGGATTTCTCAGCACGTCTTGCGGGGCTTTGGAAGAATTTCACACTGACTTTGGACAACTGAGCATCATTGGCCCAACAACACCTGTGCAACAGACCTGCGTGTCAGGACATACCTGCATCATCGATGCCCCGACTGGCTACCTGTTGTCGGCCTCAGATAGCTTCCAAGTTCTGGAAACCTGTGGAGTTCCAGGTTTCATTCCGGGGTTTCCATCTGTTCCGGAAGTGGTTTCAACAAGAGGCTCGCTTTCCCTGGCTTGGGATTCCACAACTATCACTGCATATGGTGGGCAATATCGCATTTGTTGGTGTGCCAGTGGAATGACCTGCAGCCAAGCAGAGGCCTTTCAAGTGGACGCCGGCCAGTTGGTCTTAATAGGTCCTCGACCCCTGATACAAGGTCGCACATGTGTTGGAATGCCCTGCAACATCACTGGTTTGAGTGGTATTCATTTGGCCTCCACTGATTTGGTGATGCTGCTGGACACCTGTGGCTTACCAGCTTTTCGTTCGGATCCAGGAGGCTTTTCGGGCACCGCCGTGGCGGTCACCTTCTCGGGGCAGGGCGCTCAGATTGAGGCGAGCTCGAGTAGTCCCAGCGATCACTTGAAGGGTGGATTTTACCGGCTTTGTTGGTGCGCAGGTGGAATCGCCACAGATCCGTGCGCCTCGCATGCGAACTTCCAAACGGATTTTGGAGAGGTCTATGTGGTTGGCAGCAGTCCATTTGACCAGCACAGAACATGCGTCAGCGGACAAACCTGTGCGTGGTCCGGAATTAATCTTTTGCCCGGATCTTTGACAGGACAGCAGTTGATTCTCTTGGATACATGTGCTCTGAATGGAGCGCGCGCTTTACTTCCCAATGGCGCCATTGTGCCTCATGTGCAGATCGAAGAGTCCGTTGGCCTGGCTCAGCTTCAGGCCTCTTGGGGCAGCGATCGATTGTCAGGCGCCGGTGGAACGTATCGTGCGTGCTGGTGTGATTCCAACTGCCCCATTGCAGAGGGCCACTTCTTTCTGGACGTGGCCACGATTAGCATCCTGGGGCCCAATCCACTTCTACAGCACAGGACCGGGAGAGCTGTTAACTAGGTCCCTTTGCTATTAGGAGCCCCTAGTAGCGTCCTTGCTCCTAGTAGCGATGCCAGGAGCCCCTAGTACTCGTAGCGTCCTTGCTCCTAGTATTAGGTCCCTTTGCCATTTGGTTTGGAGGCCATTGCTATTAGGTTCCTTTTGCTGTTCATAGTCAGTTCATCGTCAGTCGAGGAAGGACGATTGGTGAGTCGGGACGGGAAGGACGTTGGAAAAAGGAGATATGCGTGTTTGACTCAGTAGGCCCAAAGCAACTAATTGCCAGCAAAATGGTGTAGCAAGACTTGTGTGGTGAGTTTGACCACCGCCCTAGGACATGTGTTCAAGGCCAGATTTGCTTTGTCACGGGCATCACAGGGGAAGGTCTTTCTCCAGATGATCGCACCACAGCTGCACTTGAAGATTTCATTTGGAATTGATTGTTTTCGCTCTGTAGGCCTGTAAACAGTAACGTATCAGTAAAACGCTCTGTTCTTTCGACTTTGGGACCATCTTTCTTGTGGAGCCGGGGGCTTGGTGCGAAACCTACACGTGTGTGCTGCCACAGATAAAACTGGTAGCCAGTGGCCCATAACTGAAAAGCTCTCTGAACTGTTCAGCCAATACCTTCGCAGCCTTTTGTCATTCATCCAAGGTTACATGATTCTGGATACATGCTCTCAGCAGCCGGATCTGGCAGTTGACCGAAATGTCGGAGCCTTGATCAAGTCCAGGTTTGATTTCATGGACACTGACTTTGAGGTTCTCACCATCAGTGGTGGCGAGTATCGGCTGTGCTGGTGCGCAGCTGGCTTTGAGTGCTCCGGGGCAGACGATTTTGTCATCGACGTCGGAACCTTCACGGTGGTTGGTATCCAATGTTTCGAAGCCGGGTGCGTTGCCGATCGGACTTGCGTCAGTGGCCAGCCTTGCAATGTTGATGGGATACAAGGTGTACACCTAGGCCCTCTGGATACCATTGCCATTCTTGACACATGTGGGACGGCCACCATTCCACACTTAACTGGACACTGGAACGATGCTCCCCATGCTGTGCGCTCGGTGGCTTGGAACACGGACTATTTGACCGTTGGCGGAGGAATTTACAAACTCTGCTGGTGTGCAGGCTTGTTGGAATGTTCGCAGTCCGAGCATTTTCGAGTAGAGGCCGGCAGCTTGACCGTGGTGGGCCCCGCCCCAAAAGAACAGCATCGAACTTGCATTGGCGGGCAGCAGTGTGTGATCGAAGGCTTTGTTGTAGAAAGCCCCACCACGACAGATCTTGCCATGGTCTTGCAAACCTGCGGAAGTGTGGGTGGGTCGATCTCTTCAACTGTGGCGACTCTGGGTGCCAGCGGAAGCCGTGTGGACTTTGGCAATGCCTTTGCCTCTGCATCTGGAGGGACATACCGCCTCTGCTGGTGCTCGGGAAACTTTGGATGCCAATTGCCGAGTGATTTCCGCGTTCAACTTGGAGAGCTGACCATTCTGGGCATGTCTCCTCTCTACCAGGATAGAACCTGCATCAGTGGGCAGACCTGTGCCATTCATGGCCTGTCCGGCGAAAGTATCTCTGACACGAGCCACGTCATGGTTTTGGACAGTTGCGGAACCGCAGACCTTGTTCCACGGCTGGTTTTGGAGGGCTTGGCTGAAGGGGTGGAGGACGAGGGCTCGACGATGCTCTGGGGACGCACGCCCATGACATCGGCTGGTGGCAGGTACAGACTTTGTTGGTGCGGAGAGGAGCGCAGCAACAGTAGCATCGTGAGCAATGGCGTCTCAGCACATCGATGCAATGACCCCTTGGACTTCACTCAGGACATCGGCACGTTGACCATCATCGGTGCGGCGCCTCTGACACAGGACTTCACGTGCACCGTGGGCAGACTCTGCTCCATGCGAAGCATTTCTGGGGAAGGCCTTGCTGCAGGGGATTCCATCATGCTGTTGAACACTTGTGGTGTGGGCAATCTGCCTGAACGATTCCCCTTTGACATTGAGAGCAACTCCACTTCAAATCAGACTCTCACCACTCTCAGGTACATGACAGGCCCATATTTCAACATCATTTGGCAAACCGCCGTCACTGCAGCTGGAGGCTACTACAGCCTTTGCTGGTGTTCTGGTGCTGTCGCATGCAGCACGGCCGAGCACTTTCGACTGTCATTTGGGACACTAACTTTAGCAGGCCCAAGTCCTTTGCTGCAGCACCACACGTGCACTTCTGGCCGCTCATGCCATCCTCCAGCCCTCTCAGTTGTTCCCCGTGATCTAGATGTTGGTGAAGTTGCGGTATTGTCCACCTGCTCTTTCCAATCATCTTGGGCGCCAAATGGTTTCCCAAACCGAGGGCTGCTGCTAACCAACACCTCTGATCGAGTGACGGCGGGTGGAGGTTTCTATACACTTTGCTGGAACCCAACGCGAGATGCAATTAATAGAACAGTCGATGCTGACATTGGAGAATTTCAAACAGAGCCCGTGCCTGAGTCCACTGCAGTTTTAGATATGCATTTGTAGTTTCAATATCGATTTGTCAGGAATTGTTGGCAATGTTCTAGAATTGTTAAAAGGCATACAGGAGATTAAGACTAGGCTGCACTGAGGCTTGGTCAACTCTTCATCATAGGACCTGCACCACTGGGCCAAGATCGAACTTGCATCAGCGGCCAGACTTGCTTCTTGAGTGGCTTTCAAGGCAATGGTCTTTCCCTATCAGACCAGATTCGTATACTGGACACTTGTGGAGTAGATTCTGCTGTGCCTAGGGCTCCCCATGGAGGTCATTTTGTGCAGCTGTCACAGAGTGGAGCTGCTGTAAGCTGGGGAGCAGCGCACATGTCATCTGCTGGTGGTCAGTACAGACTCTGCTGGTGGTCGGGTTACGGCACCGTCAATGGAACTGTTGCAATTGGAGAAGCAGATACTCCAAGTACAGATTTCATAGTGGACATTGGCAAGTTGGACGTCATTGGGCCGACGCCACTGGAGCAAGACAGAACTTGTGTGAGTGGGCAGACATGCATACTGACAAGTGTGGCTGGATATGAACTTGCGAATGAGGATAGATGGCTGGTGCTGGATACCTGTGGAACTCCATCAGTGCCATATGGAATATTTGTTGATCCAACCTCAAATCAAACACTTACATACATGACAGGGCCGTATTTCAACATCGTTTGGCAAACCCCAATCACTGCAGCTGGCGGCTACTACAGCCTTTGCTGGTGTTCTGGTGCTGTAGCATGCAGCACAACAGATGACTTTCGAGTTTCCTTTGGAACACTAACTTTAGCAGGCCCAAGTCCATTACCACAGCATCACACGTGCACTTCTGGCCGGGTATGCCTTCCACCAGACCTCACAGTTGTTCCCCATGATCTAGATGTTGGTGAAGTCGCAGTGTTGTCCTCCTGCTCCCTCCAGTCTTGGGCACCAACTGGTTTCCCAAACCGTGGGCTGCTGCTGACCAACACCTCTGATCGAGTGACGGCGGGTGGAGGTCTCTATACACTTTGCTGGAACCCCACACGAGAAGCCACAAATACAAGTGGTGCAAGTGTCGGTGACTTCCTGACAAAGTGGATACCTCAGCCTTGGTTACCGCGCAGTTTCATGCTTTGTGTTTTTTTGTTTCGACCTAGATTTGTCAGGCATTGCAAGAGGAAGGTTCTAGTATTGTATGTAATGATTCCATTGGCAGACTAGCGGGAAATACATACAGGACAATGCAGACTAGGCTGCAGCATGCCACTGAGGCTTGGTCAACTCTTCATCATAGGACCTGCACCACTGGGCCAAGATCGAACGTGCATCAGCGGCCAGACTTGCTTCTTGAGTGGCTTTCAAGGCAATGGTCTTTCCCTATCAGACCAGATTCGTATACTGGACACTTGTGGAGTAAATTCTGCTGTGCCTAGGGCTCCCCATGCAGGTCATTTTGTGCAGCTGTCACAGAGTGGAGCTGCTGTAAGCTGGGGAGCAGCGCACATGTCATCTGCTGGTGGTCAGTACAGACTCTGCTGGTGGTCGGGCTACGGCACCGTCAATGGAACTGTCGCAATTGGAGAAGCAGATACTCCAAGTACAGATTTCATAGTGGACATTGGCAAGTTGGACGTCATTGGGCCGACGCCACTGGAGCAAGATAGAACTTGTGTGAGTGGGCAGACATGCATACTGACAAGTGTGGCTGGATATGAACTTGCGAATGAGGATAGATGGCTGGTGCTGGATACCTGTGGAACTCCATCAGTGCCGCACCGAATTGGGACTGATCTTGTGCCCAGTGGATTATCTTGGCTTTGGCAAACCGCACTTTCTGTGTCCGGTGGGCAGTATCGTCTCTGCTGGTGTCGAGGAAGCAATACCACGGCTTGGTCTACTGTCGAAAGGCGGGAAACTTTGCTTTCTCTATCCATTTTGGGACGCTACTAGGGGCTCCTGGCCTTACTAGTAGGAACAAGAAGCTATTAACAAGAAGCTTTACTTTTTGCCATTTTGGGTTCAGACTCATTCCGTAATTTCTATTCACTCTGCTTCGCCTTCGAAGCCGCCCGTACGGCTGCAATATTGCACTCTCCCTCGGGCTGCATAACTGACATCGTCAATGCGTTGCGCCGAAGCCACACAGCAAAAACATCCATCTGCCTGTCGCAAAATTCAATACATGTAAAAAACCAATGCAAGTTACACTGGGAGACTGAACTAAGTCGTCCATTTTTTGATGGTATAAAGGATAGAGAGCTTCCTTCAAAAGCTTTTGACCCACCTTTTTCAGACAGAAGGGACCTTCTGCCAGACCTGTGCTGCCCAGATAAAAGAGAGGTGTCGTGTTCGGCCGAAGAACACCCCAACCTTTGCGCAACAAAGCGCAAGGAGGTCGCCAGGTTTTAGCACTGAAAGGGCCAAACACTGGACTTTGCGAAACCAATCCACCTCAGGAGGTTCAGGCAAACTATTCGAGACCATTCCCGAAGTGTGACTTCGCTGTGAGGAGTACTGGTGAACCGAACGTCGCTCTTGCAAGCTTTCTTCTAAGTGTCTCTGTGTGTGTGGAACCCTTGGAGTCACAGGGGACCTTTCTGGTCTTTTAATTGGGGGGGGGCCATCGGGGTCCCAGAGGAGCGGTGGCCAACAAAGACCTCCTCTGGGACCCGTGCAAACATACCCGCCAAACTGGTCACCTGTTGTTCTCCCTGTGGTTTGCTTTCATGGTGGTTCATGTGGTTCTGTTACTAATTGTAACTTGCATTTCGTGTTTTGAGTTTTGCTGGCCTCCAACCTTGTAGCGAGGGCCTCC